GAATATCATGCGAAAACTCTATAAAAAATGAAACCACATATTAAAATGAAACCAAAGAAAAAAACAACAAAAATCCGTGAACGAGCTACGGCTGACCTTTATGCTAACGATCTGTCGTCGAACAAATCGTCGAACAACGATGAACTTTCGATGAAACACAACTTCGTTCACGACACCGTTTCGACGCTTGATTAACACAGCTAGTTGTTTTCGGCGAGTTGGGGTGTTGAAGACGTGACAGTGGAGCTGGTGTTTGGAGTTGTTTCACGGCTGCTGTTCGTCGTGGGTATGGGTGGTCGACTGGAGAGGGGTGGTCGACTGGAGAGGGGGGTGGTTCGCTGGGTGTTGAAGACGGGCCGCTGGTCGACGAGCTGCTGGTCGACGACGATGGCAGTGCTCGCTGAAGAGTGGTCGACGGACTGGTTGAGCTCGACGAAGAAGATGAAGACGGGAGGCTGTTGAAGACGATTGTGTGTGTTATGGGTGAGTTGCTGGTCGTCATGGTGGAGCTGGGGTGGTGACGACGAGAGGGCAGCCATGGGAGCTTGAGTTGTTCGTTGGTTGAAGGAAGATGGACGACGGGGCAGCTGTTGCGTCAATGGCGACGTGAGCTGAGTGGTCTGGTTTACGACGAAGAAGACGGAGGGGAAAAGGGCAGCCATGTGAGGGATGATGGGGACGACGGGGAGGGCAACCATGGATGGCGATGGTGCTGCTATGGAGGTGAGGTCGTTTGGAGCTGATGTAGGAGGAAAGGGCGGGTGTTTTTTTTAGGGTTTTGGGGTTTGGTTGTTTGGGTGAAGGGTAACTGAAAGGGGGGAGGGTCCTTTTGGTTTAGTGCTGGACCGGGTGGGGGGTTTTGGGTTGGGTAAGGGGTTATTTGGTTTGGGCCTGGGGTTTAAAATTGGAGGAAGGGCCCAATCCGATTTTCTTCTTCTTTTATTACTTCTTTTTTCTTCTTTTATTTTTTCTTAAACTAAAACTAAATTCTAAAAATCCTAAATTATCCTATAGAACTAAATTAATTTATAAAAGTGCTAATTAACTCTTAATAACAATTAACACACAATTAAATAACAATTACGATAAAATTACACAATTTGGATATTAAATGCCAAAAAATGCGACGTACATTATTTTTATGATTTTTGTTCTTGTAAAACAAACTTAATTGCTCCTAATTGTAGAATTAAATCCTAAATGCAAATGCGACATATTTTTGTATTTTTTATTAATTTAACAAATAAACATGCACGGACAAATACAAATAATTATCCAAAAATGCCACGAAAATTCTCAAAATTGCACACAAAAGGAAAATTATTTTATTTTGAATTTTTGGGAGTAATTTTCATATAGGGCAAAAATCACGTGCTCACAGTTAGCTACAAAATTTATATGTCGCTAATTTATATTTTTTTATACAGTACTATGCTTTAAGGTTTAAAAGTGCACCAGGAAAGAAAAATAACATTTTCCGGGCATTTGCGGAAGAAAGAGAAATGAAAAGATGGAGAATGAACATAAAAAGAAGCACTCGGTTAACGCAATCGTTCACTTTCTTTATCTGATATTGTTATTTCTTTTACTTTTTTGGGGGCTATTTGTATGTTATTTTGTTGGATATACAGGTTGGAGAGTACTGAATGAAAACCTAAAAAATTAAATATTGCCTTCAAGATTCTTTTGGGGGTGGGTAGCATTTTCCATAAAAGAGAGTAAAAACAATCTGCGGCAACGTTCTCATGGTGTCCAAGTTACATTTTTTGCACGAAAATGGAAATTGGTGGGGATTGAAATACACAAACCAGAAGCTGCCATAAGATAATAATAGCATTGAATGCACCAAAAAATATAAATAAACTGAACAGGATATCTAGGAATGAAATGTGCTGTTTGTCAATAATAGGAAACCGAAATTATATATGGCCATTGGAGCTTAGTGAAATATCAAATATCATATGCCTTAGATGATGAAGAACCAGAAGAAGAAAAAGACAACAAAGTTAATAGTCCCCTATCTCAATAGGGTAAATCTTTCTCCTAACATTTTATTCCAAACACTTGTTACATATTTTTCCCTTTTTATTTGTTCAGGAAGTTAGACCTATTTCTTAAAGGATAATTGTTTTCTCCCTCTAAAAGGCTAATTAATGGGCTTGATCAGTTAAATACACTAATAAGATAAAATAAGATATTATTTTAATCAAATTAAATAGTGATCATCTGATATCTTTTGGGTTATCCAATAATAATTTTTTTGTACACTATCGGATTCTATAAGTTAAATGCAATTGTATATTACAAATATTCAAGCACAAAGTTCTTCACGTTGCATCAAGGACCGCTCAACGGATCTCGTGGCCTAAGGAGAAACCATATTGAGGGGTCCTTAAATTTATCTTATTAAATATTTATACTAACAACAAAAATTGCTTTTTAAATAACAAATTAATCATTTAAGAAAAAAAGAAGAAGCAAATTTCAAAAAAAAAAAAAAGAAAGAAAGAAGAAGAGCACAAAAAAATAAAGTGGTGGACTATCGGATGTTGAGGTCCAGAACTCAAAGTGAAAATTTTAAATTGGCTATCATCACAAACAAAAAAAAGAAATAAACATACATAACGTAATAACTTAAGTTTTGAGCATTGACGGTGTCAAAAATATTTACTTCTTTTGATCAATTTAAACGATAATTGTACTTCATTCTATTAAGTAGCACTTATTGGTGAATATCTAAATAAATTGTAAATGACCTAATATAATATGTCGAATTACATCAAAAGAAAATCGGTGCATGGATATTTTTGTGTTCATGCAGTTTCAGAAAACATTATAAAAAAATTCATTATGTTATCGATATATATAACTTAATTCCTATATAAAAAGAATAAAATTAAAATTGAAGAGTGAAGCAAATATACTAATTAATGAGGGAAGAAAATTATCATAATTTAGAAATTTATTGGTATAAAATAACCTCAATCAAGTAACAAAAAAATATATTGTAACACTTTTCTTTATACTAATTATTTATATAAATTATATAGTATATAGTAACAACAATAATAAGAACTTAAAATGAAGTTGGGGCCTCAAATGAGGCCTAAGGCATTGGCCTCACCTCCCAAAGCATTGTATTATTATTATTATTACTATTATTATTTAAGTACATTTTTTTATAAATAAATGATTTTATTATCAAGTTGCAATCTGTACAGGATCATCCTAACCTGAAGAGCTAATAGCCTGTTTGCCAAAAGTGCTTTTTTTTTGCCAAAAGCATTTTTGGCCTCACCTCTCAAAAGCACTTTTTTTGGTCTCACCTCCCAAAAGTATTTTTTTTTTGCCAAGCTTCTAGAAGGAAAAAAAGTGCTTTTGAGGAGAAGCAGAAAAAAGTAGCTTCTCTCCAAAAGCACTTTTTTGAGAAGCACTTTTGAAAAAAATACACTTAGAAACAATTTTTTAAAGCTTGGTCAAACACTAATTGCTGCTCAGAAGTGTTTTTCAAACTAATTAGCCAAATACAAACTGCTTCTCACCAAAAGTACTTTTGAGAAAAATATTTTTGAAAAAAAGCACTTCTCAAAATAAGTTGATTTTTGCAGCTTGGCCAAACGGGCTATAAGTCTCATTCTACATTTAAGTACTTCTATCATCTAGGGGTAAAAGTTCAAACTTTCCATCTTCTTTGCAAGCTTTAAGTACATCTTTTATCAATTCATTATGATAATTTTTATTAATCTACTTTTAAACTCTGAATTAACTAGAATAAAGTCAATTTACTGGTATCAAAGGACATATAACAAGGGAAAGCAAAATGAATCATAATAAATGAACGGACAAAACAGCTCTCAACTTTTACTAGCAACAATACGGGTACTAATTCAATCTGCCTAGTCTCCCAATAACTCAATAAACGAGAACCAAAAAGTAACTCCCCCACCCCCCTCCCCCACCNCACCCCCCAAGAAAAATAGGGGAAAAAAGACACAAGAAACACATAAAAACACAGAAGAAACTGCACTGCACCTCGATTTGATCATTCCTCCTTGTGTCTGAAAAATCAAATTTATTTTTTACTTAGCCTAAGTTACTACTACTACTTTGTTTTATACACCCTCTCTCTATCTAGTCTAGGAGGGGATATTGCCAGTAATGGCAGTGTTTCAGTGGCAGTGCAAGAAAAAGGAGTTAGAGTTTTCATTGGGAAGGTAAAATTTTTGCACCCAAAAACAAGCGAACCCATAAACACCTTCATGTTTTTCATAGGAATTCTCTTCTTCTTCTTCTTGTAAAAATACACAAGCTACCCTTTCCTTGTTACACAGTAGATAGATTATAGAGAGAGAGTAAAAGAGAACCCTATTTCTATTTTTTCACTTGCAGAGGGAAAAGAAAAGAAAAGAAAAAGGAAAAAAAGTTGGGTTTGCAGGCTTTGCTTTTTCTGAGAAGGAGAGAGAGGCAGTGTTTCTTATCTGACTACTACTATTACTAACTATGTATTCCATTAAGGATTTCCTGTAAAAAGCCTGATTTCAGTAAGCATAAAACTCGGGAGATCACTCACTGCCTCTTTAGCCCCAAAAAGAGAGGGAAAACAAAAGATAATTACACAGTGTGCGTGTGTGTTGTTTCATAGGCAAAAACAAAAGGAACAAAATTAAGACAAGAGGGTTATAAGAAACTCAGAGAAAGAAAAAGGTAGTAAGAGTTAATGGAGGGGGGTGGTTCTAGTGGAAATACTTCATGTTTAATGGGTTATGGAGATGACAACAACAACAATAACAGTGGAAATGCAGCCCTATGTCCTCCTCCTATGATGATGATGATGATGCCTCCTCCTCCTATTAATAATAACAATGGAGAAAGCAGCAATAATATTGGTGGCAACAACAACAACAATATCCTGTTTCTTCCTTTTATGGACAACAACAACAACAATAATCCACATGAAGACGCAAACTGTTCTTCTTCTAGTTCCATCAAGTCTAAGATTATGGCTCATCCTCACTACCCTCGTCTCTTGTCTGCTTATGTCAATTGTCAAAAGGTGAAATTAATATACCCCTTTTAAGAAAAAGAACATTTTTTTTCAAGAATTGCAAATTAAAATTCTTGTGAGAAATAAAGGGCAAGGTTTTCTATAGTTGACTCTCTGTTATAAAAAGAGAGTGTTTCCCCAAACCCTTGAAGGAAAAAAAATATTATGTATGATAGGGACAGTAACTGTATGTTCTTTTTTACACACTTTTATATCTGTTGAAGTGTTGATGAGAAGATAACCTAGTTATGTATGTATTACAGATAGGAGCTCCGCCGGAAGTGGTGGCAAGGCTAGAGGAAGTATGTGCCACGTCAGCAACAATAGGCCGTAACAGTGGCGGCATTATCGGAGAAGATCCAGCGCTAGATCAGTTCATGGAAGCTTACTGTGAAATGCTGACAAAATATGAGCAAGAACTTTCAAAACCCTTTAAGGAAGCCATGGTTTTCCTCTCAAGAATTGAGTGCCAGTTTAAAGCTCTCACTCTTACTTCCTCCTCTGAATCTGGTGATGACTCTTTTTCTAACCCTTATTTTGTCTTCACCTTCTTTTTTTTTGAAAAAAAAAAGAAGAAAAACTTAGAATGGGTGATGTGTATTCTTTTCAGATCCTAACTGTTTCTTTGAGTTTATTCACTGCTTTGAGTTGGTTTGTTTTTCTAAAAATTAATGTCCTCTGCATGTGCATGTTTCCAAGGATATGAGGATTTAATTAACTATAAACGAGCTCAGTTCCATTCCAGATGCAATTATTATTTTCCCATTCTTTAATCACTTTCCACACCCTTTTACTACTAAGTATTTTATTTTTGCTATTTTTCTTAATATCTAAAGTATTAGTTTCTGGGAAACTAAGATACAGTACATCTTTATGTATATATGCATTCTAAGGCTTTGCTTTGTTATATATAGTTATGTAACAATGACTCTTTGTTTTGATTCCCTCTCAATAAATCCTGTTTTGTTCTTCTACATGTTCATCTTCTGTTGATATGTTTGGATGTTTGTAGTGCAAGTAGGTTTAAACAGCAAAATACATTTGTCCCTTGTTAATTATTTGAAACTTGATGTTTGTATATGCTGAAGAAACCAGCTTGTCTTATTTCTTTATTTGGTATGACCCTGGGGAATATGACTTTCTTGTTGCAGTTCTTTTAAGAACAGCCAATCAAATTTCTTTTCACTATTCATGCCCAGGTATTGTTTCTGTTATCATGTTCTTATCTAGTTAGTTCCATTAGAATCTTCAAGGTTTGCTGAATAATTGAAAACTTGTACCTGATCTAATGAAATGCTAACCCTAGTTTTTAATCAATTCATATCTGGAATCAATTAAGTTAATTTTATCTCTCACGCTCTAAGCAGCAGATTGTTGCATTTGTTTCTTTTGGTGAAGTCTTTTTCCATTACAAACATGCATTTTAAGTCAGTTTTTATGGTTTAGTTTTTAATGATTCACATAAATGTAAGTTCTGGTGGCATTTCATTTGTTTTAGAATATGGTTAAACTCTATCCATTTTATGAATGTGGATGTTCTGATGTTCAAAGGTTCTCTCTTTTACTTTTATTTTTATTTTTATATAGAGTTTAAGTTTTATGCATTGACAATATAAAATGCATTTACATCATTAGGTCATTTAAAAGGTATTTGCAGGTAACTCAATTTTATAACATGATTTATAACCAAACATAAATGACAATTAACTACTCCATCCATTCACTTTTACTTGTCCATTATGGACTTTGCACGCCCTTAAGAAATAATAAATGAAGTGCATAATTTAACATGATACCCATATTAATTGATGCATATTTTTAATGGATTTGAGAAAATGATTTGAGATGAGTAATTAATACTGTGGGTATAATGCTAAAAGTAACAAGTAAAATTGAAAATATATTTTTAGAATACTGCACAAGTAAAAGTGAACAGAGGGACTAATATACAACTTAAATATTTCCTAGTAATTTTATTTGAAGGTATAATAATAGAGTTTATGAACTTTTTTGCTGAAGCATGCATTAACTAGTTGTCTTGGAAAATGATTCATAATTTTCAAAATGCAATGGTTTTTTGTTTAACTTTGGGAAAAGACTTTCATCTAATTTATTAGTTTGTGTATATTTGGATTCAAACTTTTTAACATAATTAGTTTAACCTAGAAAGCATCAATTCAGTATGATTCTCTTGGCCAGCACTAAATTTTCATTTATGGGCTGTGAAGAAGTCCTTGAACTGAATGATTAAGGCATCACGAATAGTTCCAAACTTTGACATGATTTCAGGTCCCTCTAAATGTCGTCTTTAGTTACTACAGAAAAGAATATTGAGATAAATGACAACTGATGGAGATATGCACCTTGTTTTTATAGGGACCCACGCATGACTCTTTATTTGATTTGGAGCTTTGATTGGAGTATTTGATAACGTCCTTGGAATTTCATAAAATGGGAACCACACTTTGCTTCTCTCCACTTCCTCTTTTTGATTATTATTTGACAACTAGAATGTGATTTCTAGCTACTATTTTAATGTTTCCTGATTAATGAAGTTGGTGTGTTTCCATTAGATCTTCTGTTCATATTTATGTTTCCTCAATGTTTTTTGGTTGAGTTCGTTTTCTTTTTGGTCCAGCAAATATCTGATCGAATTTATTCCCTAAAGGAAAAAAAAATCATCTTGGTGAACACTGACTGCTTTTTATGATCTCATTCTATTATTGTTCATATGCTAGTTGACAAGGGGTTTATTATTCAGTCAATGTTGTATGTAAATTCTTTCTTCTTGGACTTATTATAGATATAGTCGACAATCATAGAACTTGTGAAATAGTAGTGTATTTCTAAATGAGCCTTTAATTCGCTGAAGACGACAGAGTTGATGAGTAACAGATGGGTTCTAGCTTGAAGGACCCTTTGATGTGCGAAGCTATATCTTGTAGTGGTGCCTACTTTCCTTTGTGCAAAAGTAGTGTCATCCCATGAGATTGAGCAGTTTTAGTGCTTGCAGTTAAAAGACAACTGAAAGAATTAACTCTTTTTGAACTTATTCTTAACCATGGATAGGGACCCTCAAGTAAGTTGGTTTATGATTAATAATGCCATCGTTCTCTAGTTTATAGTAACTAAGTTTAGTTTGTCAAAGTTTATAAGCTTTTGAAATGTTGTACCTTGCATAGATTTGGTGAATCAGGAATTCTTTGTTTTATGATTGTGTTAACTCTAGCATACTTTTGCTACTCTAATGTGAGAAAGCGCTGAAAGAGGTATTCAAATGCTAACACTAGGAGCAAATGATTAAGAATTTGGTTGAACATAACTAAAAGATCCGTGTCACCACAGTATTTGGCAACTCTATCCTGCCCAATGTTGCGCGAACTCCAAAATGAATGACCCATGTCGAATCCTCCAAAAATACACTATTTTTGCAGGATCCGATACGCTCCCAACAACATTTTCGGAGAGTCCGAACAACATAGAATTCCTGCCAAACCTTTGAGGACTTCCCTTATAAACAGAAAAGTGTCTCAGAAAACTTCAGCCGTACGCACACTTAAATTTGTTACCAAATACATATCTGTTAATTATGTTGCAGTATTCATTCATTGAGATGACGGAGTCTCTTTTTTATTATAACTAGAAATTTACTACTTTGCACTATATTGTACTTTGCTTAAGCCTGATTTTATCCTTTGATGTTCTAAATTCACTTCAGCTAGAGACGATATCTGTCTTTCTTTTTTAAGCTGAGATAGATGGTACTATTGACTGCTTGATCTTCTTGCATGTACATTGATAACCTATCATGAGTTTCTGCTTTTTTATTTGCCTATTTACTTCATCCGGGTATTTGTCAGTTGACTTGCTGTTAAATATGCCTTCTGTATTTGATTTTACTAAATTATGGAGCTCTGAATACATGAATTCTAGAGAATTTTTTCATAGTTCAAAGAAATTGAACGGCTTTGGAAGCTTTAAGTAACCATATGGGTTCTGAAAGTGATGTGACATTGGTTTTTAATATTGTATCTTAATATCTGGTGATTCTTACCATTATGTTCCAATTAAGCACCACGCATTTTAGCGACAAGAGTTGCTGCAGGTTTTAAGTAATTTTATTTGGCTGATGCTTATGCGAAAGTCTTGCAGTTGCAGCTCTAGGTGAGGCAATCGATAGAAATGGATCGTCTGAAGAGGAGGTTGATGTGAATAACGGTTTCATCGACCCTCAGGCTGAAGATCAAGAACTGAAAGGTCAATTGCTGCGCAAATACAGTGGTTACTTGGGTAGCCTTAAGCAGGAGTTCATGAAGAAGAGGAAGAAAGGCAAGCTGCCTAAGGAAGCAAGGCAACAACTACTGGACTGGTGGACCAGACATTACAAATGGCCATATCCATCGGTATTACCCTCTTTGCCTTTTTATATCATGACTTTTCTATTGATGTATGAAATATGCATCAATTAATCCATTGTTACATATATCGAACATTACATCAATTTCTGTTCTGCTCCATTAGAGTCTTCGGTGTAATACTCGTTACTGTTTACCCAAAAAACGGTACAGCTGAATTTATACGTGGTTTCTAGACAAGTAAATTAATTTGATCCTGAAATAATAAAATGAGATGATTGAAGAAATATATAACACTTAGCCTTGATAGGAAGACGAAATAACATAAATAAAGATTCTGGTAATGAAGCCTCTGAGCGCAACAGTGATAAGAACAATAAGAAGGACCCAAAATAAGAAGATAAAATTGTATTGAGCTTTTTGTAGATTGTAGTATTAGTTTGCCAGAAGAATTCCTCCGTACAATGATAACATAGCTCACTATTTATAGCTAGGCCTAGGGAAAGACGTCCTAGGATCGTGCCCTTTAATGCCAATTATGAGGGCCTTGATGAAAATGTGACGGTGAACATAAATGCCAAATTTCTTGTAACGGGCAACTTACTTAATGCTGTGTAATATTCTCCATTGAATGCTACCAGGCGAAGAGTATTTATTGCATCCTTATGAGCGTTACTCTTTCCGGTGACAGACAGGACAGTTGCCTTCGGTTTTGGTTATCCCCGTCTTAGATTCCATGTGTCCCTCTTTTGAGCGGTCACGTAGCATTGCATATTTTACCCTATACAACTACTTTTGCCTGTTAAGTGATTAGGAGTTTTGATGGTAACTGTATACTGATAAATTAAACTTTTCTGCACTGATAATAATAACATCGAATAGTTTTTTTACCGTTAGGTTCAGATGTCTTAACAACAACAGGTAAGTGGTTTTAGTATTCCTAATCTTGTAGTAACATAAAATTTTGAAATAAATTGCCTACTATAACCAACTAAAGAACACTGTAGTGTATTTTTTTTGGAATGTCAGTGTATATAAGGTAAATTCATAAAAGAAATGTATATTTCCAAAGAAAATCTCACGATCAATTTATCTATGTGCGTGTTATATATTAACAGGAATCCCAGAAGCTGGCACTGGCTGAATCTACAGGATTGGACCAAAAACAAATAAACAACTGGTTTATCAACCAAAGAAAAAGGCACTGGAAACCTTCAGAGGATATGCAGTTTGTGGTAATGGATGCTGCTCATCCACATTACTATATGGACAATGTTCTCGGTAATCCTTTTCCAATGGATATTACACCAACTCTCCTCTAAATTCTGGAGAAGGCCAATTCCAACTTATGAAAATTAGAGTGATTCTTGAATCTTTAAAATGTGTAGTATTAGATGTATTATCAAGGATATTTTGCATATTACTCGTATGCATATCTAGTTGTTATTGTAACTTCAAGGCTAAGACCATAAGTACTTGTAGTTCGAGCTATTTCTGTTATGGTTAACTTTATTAAATTAAATTTACTAGTTTGTTATATGTTTCGATGACAGTTTTAAAGTCCAGGTATTTTGTTTTTAGTGTTGAGTAAACTAAAACAGCTCTATTGAGAACCCTAATAAATGAGTTAGAAGATTTTGCAGAACAAGAGGTAAGATGTAACACATCGATGAGATTTTCCGCAGTATATCGGGATCTTTACATAAATTGTTGGCCATATTTATTATTTACTTTTTTCATATACATAGATTATACATTAATTATACACAAATAATACATAAGTTATGCATATATTGTACTTCCACCGATTATTTTTAGTTTAAGCGGTTGGATGAGTGATTATTTGGGTTAATTAATGTCATTGGGTAGCTCTACATAAGGTAAAAATAGCACGGTATAGCCAATTTTCGGATTGGTCATTCAAAAATAGTCAGCTTTACCAAGTTAATGAAAAATAGCCACTATTTTGCAGCAATAGAGACCGGTCCGGCATAATATACTGGAGTTTGGTGCACCTATGTAGGGCTGTGCATAATGTTGGATAAGAAAAGAATTATAAGGAGAAAGTAAACAAAAAAATAGAGCAAAAGAGATGAAAAGGTACTGTAATTCTTGTATTTCTGATGCAACGAAGTGTAAAAGAACAGCCTATAAATAGGCTTACAAAGAAACTGAAAATACTAAAATCTAGCTCCACTTACCCACTAAAGCTAATCAATATCTAAACTTGCTTAAATAAAGGAAACCAACTAACAAACTCCTAAAGACTTGGTCAAACATTTTTGAATCACTTCTCAACACTCTCCCTTGATTCAAAAGTGCAAACTCCAAGTTGACCTCTGAAGAACTCGTGCTTTGCTTGCGGAAGTGACTTTCTGAAGATGTCTGCCGCTTGCTCATTCGTACCACAAGTCTTCAAAGTAATTTCTCCAGTAGAAACAAGACTCCAAATATAGTGATAGCGAATATCAATGTGTTTTGTTCTGCTATGAAATGCTGGCTTTTTCGACATCGCAATAGCAGACCTGTTGTCACAGAATATTTCAGTTGCATCACCTTGTTTTTGATCGAAATCTGCAACAAGTCTCCTTAACCAAACTGCTTGACAAGCTGCCGAAGTTGCTGCAATATATTCAGCCTCTCAAGTTGATAATGCCACCACTTCCTGCTTCTTTGAACTCCATGAAATTGCTCCAGATCCAAGATTAAACAAGAAACCAGACGTGCTCTTTCTATCATCAATGTTACCTGCCCAATCGCTATCAGTAAAGCCAGTTAATGTGAAATTTGTTACCTTAGAATACCAAATTCCATGATCTATTGTCCCTGCGATATATCTCAGTATTCTCTTTGCAGCTCTAAGGTGAAGTTTGCTTGGACTATGCATAAATCTTGACACTACTCCAATAGAGAAAGCAACATCTGGTATGAGACAAATAATTTAAACCACCAACAAGACTTCTAAAATAAGTTGCATTTGCCATTTCAGTACCATCATCAAGACACAACTTCTCATTAATATTCATTGGCGTAGCAACAACTTTACAATTCACCATATTAAACCTTTTCAAAAGATCTGTTGCATATTTTCTTTGTGAAAGAAATATGCCATCAATTCCTTGTTTCACCTCAAGACCAAGAAAATAATGCAGTAGACCTAAATCAGACATCTCAAAATTCTTCATCATGCAATCTTTAAATTCAGCCACAATAGACTCACGTGAACCCATATATATTATATCATCAACGTAAAGACATACAGCCAAAAAATCATTTTTACCTTCTCGTTTGATATAAAGAGTAGGCTCATTGTTACTCCTTTCGAAACCACTCTTCTGAAAATAAGAATCAATTTTGAAGTACCATGCCCGCAACGCTTGCTTTAAGCCATAAAGTGTCTTTTTTAACATGTAAACCTTATCTTCTTTGCCGTTAACTACAAACCCTTCAGGTTGTGAGACATAAACTTCTTCTTCCAAATCACCGTTTAAAAAGGCAGATTTAACATCAAATTGGTACACTGGCCAATTTAATGTTGCAGACAAAGCTAAGAAAGTTCTAACAGTTTCAAAGCGGGCAACAGAAGAAAATGTTTCATCGAAGTCGATACCTTGTTGTTGGGAATAGGCCTTTGCAACAAGCCTTGCCTTGTGTTTTTGAATGCTTCCATCTGCATTATACTTGGTTCTAAACACCTATTTGAGCCCAATAGCTTTCTTTCCTTCTGGAAAATTAACCAAGTCCTAGGTCTGATTTGTTTGAATAGCTAACAGCTCCTCTTTCATAGCTTTGCACCATTTATCTTCTTTTTCAGTATCTTCAAAGCAAATAGGATCTGAAACAAGTAAAGCAAAAGTACATGATGTACTGTCAGCATATTTGGGATTTGGTTTTCTATCCCTTGTTGATCTTCTTAACGGAATTGGCTCAGCTGAAGATTCTTCCAATGTTGGAGAAGTTGATAGTTCCATTGATGTGACAATTGATGGATCTGATGAAGAAGGATCTACTACATGCTCATGATCAACAACATCATTAGTAGGCAACAATTGAATATTTGAACTTTCATTTCCAGAATTAAAGTTCCAGCTTGCATCTTCATTAAACACAACATTTCTACTGACTATAATTTTTTCACTCACTGGATTATATAGCTTATAAGCTTTAGATTGTGTGCTATAACTAATAAAGACACATTTTTCAGATTTTTCATCAAGCTTGCGTCGAACCTGTGAATTCACCAAAGCATAAGCTACACATCCAAAGACACGTAAGTGGCTTACCTTGGGCTTGTTACCTCTCCATGCTTCATATGGTGTTCGATTAAAAACTGCCTTGGTGGGTGAAATATTCAACACATAGACAGCAGTGGCAAGGGCTTCAGCCCAAAAAGACTTTGAAACACCTCTAACTTGCATCATGCTTCTGCCCATGTCGACAATTGTGCAATTCTTACGTTCGGCTACACCATTTTGCTCTGGTGTATAAGGTGTTGAGAGCTCTCTATGTATTCCATTTTCCTCGCAGAAGGAACTGAATTCATTTGACATAAACTCACCACCTCCATCCGTTCGAAGAGTTTTTATTCTACATCCACTTTGCTTCTCAACAAAAGATTTAAATTTCTTGAAATTCTCAAAAGTTTAAGATTTAAATTTCAAGAAATATATCCAACTCATACGACTATAATCATCAATAAAAAGCAAAAAGTATCGACTTCCCCCTAAGGACTCAATACTCATAGGGCCGCACAAGTCAGCATGTACTAACTCGAGACAAATAGAAGCTCTCCAAGACTTGCCTATAGGAAAAATAATTTTACTTTGTTTTCCATAAACACAGCTTTCACAAAAATCAAGATTCTCAACTTTTGGCAATCCAAAAACCATTTCCTTTTGGATCAATAACTTCAGTCCATTAGCATTTAAATGTCCATAACGCTAATGCCACAGTCTAGTATCATTATCACTACTAGCAACCATAGCACATTTCTCGACCATTGAAACTTCTAAAGGAAACATTTTGTTGTTAGTCATTGGAACTGTAGCAATGGTTTGTCCAGATTTCTTACTTCTAATAGTGCAAAAACCATCATCAAAAGAAATCGAGTATCCGCTAATCATTAACTGTCTAATGCTAAGCAAATTATGAGATAAACTAGGAACAAACATCACATCTTCTAATATTTTAGCATTACCTTGGCTGGTTCTAATTCTAACAGTACCTCTACCTTCAACTTGGATCTTCTTGTTGTCTCCTAGCCTCACGTCTGATTTTTTGGACTCATCAAGTTCTTTGAACAATGATCTTATTTCAGACATATGATTGGAACATCCACTGTCCAAAATCTAAACATCGGTAGGAATTTCTTTTTCACAATAAAAGGCCATAAACAACTTACTCTCATCGTCATTTTTTTCTGCAAAACTTGCTTGGTTATTTTCATCCTTCTGCTTTTGACAACAATAAGCTTCCTTATGACCTGACTTTCTGCAGTAATTGCACAAAAATATCCTATTTTGTTTCTCTTCATTTGATCCTCCTCTATCTCGACCTCTTCCTTGACCTCTTTCACGTCCTCTTCCTCAAAAACCACCCCTGCCACGACCACGATTAAAAAAAAATTCTGACTTATCTTTCTGATGGGTGGACTCTCCCTTCACCTGAAATGCTTTTTCTTCATTTTTTTCATGTAACCTTAGGAGCCTTTCTTCATGAGCTTGCAAAGAACTCATTAGTTCATCAAAAGAATAATCACATAAGTCATGAGATTCCTCAATCGCAACAACAACATGTTCAAACTTTGGAGTAAGACTCCTTAAAACTTTTGCAACAACAATTTCTTCAGATATATCTTCACCATAAGACTTCATTTGATTAACAAGAGAAGAAACTCTAGACAAATAAGTTTGAATAGATTCATTACTTTTCATAGAAAGAGTTTCAAATTCACGACGGTAAGTCTGCAATTTTACCGTAATTACTTTAGCTGAACCTTGAAATTCCTTCTTCAAAATCTTCCATGCCTGCGAAGACGTAGTTGCTGCTGCAATTCTTGAAAAGATTGTGTCATGGACTGCTTGTTGAATGAAACACAGTGCTTTGGCATCCTTCTTTTTGATCTTTTTTAATTTTTCCACCTCTTCATTAGAGCTTGCTTGATCCACAAACCCTTCTTCCACCAGCTCCCAAACTCCTTGTGATTTGAAAAGAGTTTTCATTTTGATACTCCAAAACTCATACTTTTCACCAGTAAAAATTGGAATGAGTGATTGTGAAGATGATGAAATACCATTCACGACCATTTTTCTTTTGCTCTCATACTTTCTCTCTAGTTTCACTCAAATACTCACCCAATTTTGAAAAGAACCGGGCTCTAATATCAGATTTGTTGGATAAGAAAAGAATTATAAGGAGAAAGTAAACAAAAAAATAGAGCAAAAGAGATGAAAAACTACTGTAATTCTTGTATTTCTGATACAGCGAAGTGTAAAATAACAACCTATAAATAGGCTTACAAAGAAACTGAAAATACTAAAATCTAGCTCCACTAATCCACTTACCCACTAAAGCTAATCAATTTCTAAACTTGCTTAAATAAAGGAAACCAAATAACAAACTCCTAAAGACTTGGTCAAACATTTTTGAATCACTTCTCAACACATAATTTGGTAAATACCGAATTACCGTACCGAAACAAAATATTTTGATTTTTGGCATTCGATATTTTGGTATTCAGTATGGTATTTGGTTTAAGTTTTAAAAAAAAATTGGTATTAGGTATGATATTTGTATTTTAAAATGAAATACCGAAATACCGATACCGTACTGAAATATATATTATATTACACAAAACACATATTATTAACTATAACATAAATATAAAAAATCTAAAAATTTACTTTCCTTTATTCTCTAAGTTCGTCAATTAACTCTAAGCAAGTAACAAGACATTTCTAATGATCAAATTTTTTCCTTTATGTGCAATTTTCTCTCTCTAGGTTGATATTTGCTGGTTTTGGACAAAACTTTTATCAAACGACATTTTAGTTTTGTACTTTTGAGTGCTTTAATTAAGAATATTACAGTCTATGACTCTATGCACTAGTAAGTATTCAAACCGAATAAACCGAAACCGAAAGGAGAAAAACCAAACCATACCGAATTTAATTAGGTACGGTATTGGTATAGCATTTTAAGAAACCGAAAACGGAAAATACCGAACCGAAATGTCTAAATACCGTACCGTACCGACTGACGAACACCCCTACATCTATGTATGAACTCCAACATATTATGTTGGACCGGTATACTTTGCTACCTCCAGTATAATGTACTGGAGACTGGAGCACCGGTGCTCAAAACTCCAGTATATTATGCTGGACCGATATACTTGCTGGAACTCCAGTATATTATGCTGGAGTTCTAGTGTACTTATGCTGGAGCTCCATCATATTATGCTGGAGTTCCAACATACTTATCCTGAAACTCCAGTATAATATGTTGGAGTTCAAGTATACTTATGCTGGAACTCCAGCATAATATACTGACATATTTTTTGGGTTTTGAACAGTGTTCTCGCTCAGATTTATTTTTACATGAAAAGTGGCTAAATTTCGATTACTTTTAAAATTGGGCTATTTTTGAACGTCCAGTTATAAATCTGACTATTTTTGAATTTCTCCCCTACCTAAGTTGAACACAATTGAATACTTAGCCATCCAAATGGCTTCGGTAGTAAACTGAAGCCCACTTCATGGGGAAGGCTTTCCTTATGGGCTTCTCCGTCAAAACCCCAAGAGTAAAGTAGACAAAATTGAATTAGATCAATTTAATATTTTAAATAAAAAATTTAATATGAAAATACTACAAGTTTAATTCTTCTCATATCAAATGATGAAAAATATATGTTAAAACGTTGGTTAAAATTCACAATTTTACATACCTTAAATCCAGAGAAGCGAAATGTCTTACCTAAATTGATATGAAATGTATAGATCTGCCAAGACTTAAAAGACAAATGTTCTATTACTCCATAACCAAGAAATTTGCCAAAGAAATTATTGTTTTTATTTTTAAGAGGTTTCACTGTTGTAATTATAATTAAATACAATGTAGGGGTACTTGTGATTATGGGTAAATACTAACTTTTATATCTAAATTCTAAATGAAACCAATTAACTCCTTGCCCAAAAATAACAAAAATAAAAGTTAGTTAAAATAGCAACTCCCTCGCCCTTGCAAAACTTATTTAACTAGACAAGAGTAAAATAACACGCGAAATGATCCTATTTATATTGGATTCTCTATTACTCAATAAATTAATAAAATCTTCTAGTCAAGAGTACACCGACAACAAACAATAACGACCAATTAAAATTTTACGAATGAGATATGAGAAGGGTATTATATACGCAGACCTTATCCCTATAACGAAGGATCAAGAGGCTAGTCTCAATGGAAGAAGACCTTCTAGTCAATTTCCCATAGAGTCTCGATGGAAGAAGACCTTCTAGTCGAATAAAAAAAAAATGGAAAAAGAAAAAGAGCTCCAACTTTGTATTTAGTGTCCTTAAAAAAAGAATAAAAAAATCTAGGGCTTATAAAGAAACCCTTCGTTTTCAGGAGAATCAAATGAACCCATCCATCTTCGAGAAGCTACGAAGAATGCACCTAGATTTTCGTCTTCCCTTTTGAATCATATAGGAGTATTACATTTCACTCCCACAAAATCTCTCTGCAAAAACCAAATTCACCTCTCTCTCTCTCTCTCTCTCTCTATTTTCCATGGCCAAGACTCGACCTGGAAAACGTGACTTGGACTCTTACACCATTAGACGCACCAACAAAGTTGTCAGAGGTATCTACATCCACATTCCCTTTTCACAAAATTCCATCTGCATTGATTTTTCTTACATTTGTTTCTCTCTAAAATGTGTAGCTCGACTATCCTGCTGCAACCCACTAGTACATGTGGGGTAGGTGGGCTCGCTCTAGGGGTTTGTAGCCGCTATTTGAACGTGGGATTTAAGTTTTGTTCTGATTTTCTTTGGCGATTAAGTGTTTGCTGTAGGTTTTTGAAGAAGAAGAATAGGGCTCTTTGCGAGGCATGCATGTGTATACCTGCCTATTTGGGTGTTTGAAATTGTGTCTGCATTTGTTTTTGGTTGTGTCTATGCTCATGTGGAATTATAGATATTGGATTAGAAGAAAGATTGTTCCTTTCTTATGGTTTGCTGCTGGCATTTTTGTGTGTATTCTTTAAAATTCAGATATCGCCAATTTGGGTTCATACAATGGTACTTTTAATATTTTCTTCCTTTATACCATGTTCAACTGCTGTATCTGTTTTTCCTTGTAAATGGCTTAATAACAATGATGATTATTACCCCATTTTTGTGGATATTAGTGAGGTATTCTCCTTAATAATTGTCTGTTTTCCTGCAAGCGCCTATACTCATTCATATAAGCAATTATGATTGAATTTCCTGGAACTAGATGGATTATTGGTTCTGATTTCTGTTTTGGCACCATTGAAAAGGAGAAAAGGCCATGCTATGGAAAAGAAAGAATCTGTTGTGCTTTGGTAAGTTTGTAGACAGGCAGAGAAACGTGTTTGTGCATACACATGGAACATGTTATATGCCATTTGGAGAGCATTCAGCATAATTTTATGGCCATGAGAGAGGATGAGATTGTTGAGGAGTTGGATAGTGGTAAAGATGCTAGTTATGTTTTTCTTATGTGCGTGACAGAAGTATCCAGCTGTTTTATGCAGGCAATGCCTCTGCACTCGTTCCTAACAGTGAAACCACTCGAATGAGTGTGCTCATTTTGTACTTCTCTTTAGTACTTAAGATCTGCATTAGCTGCTTAATTATGTTGCTGTTGCTGGGGATTTTAGTCTTTAGAAATGGAATTTGATCCTTATCATGTAGTTGTGATCTTTGAATTGCATAACTGAATTTGGTTTTGATTGCTTATGACTGTGAAGCTGGAGACTGTGTGTTGATGCGACCATCAGAAGGCGATACTGCTCCATATGTGGCACGTGTAGAAAAACTCGAAGCCGATAACCGCAACAATATAAAGGTGCATGTTAGATGGTATTACCGGCCAGAGGAGTCACTGGGAGGACGGAGACAGTTTCATGGAGCAAAGGAGTTATTCTTGTCTGACCACTATGATGTCCAAAGTGCCCACACTATAGATGGGAAGTGCATTGTTCACTCTTTCAAGAACTATACTAAGCTTGAGAATGTTGGTCCAGAGGATTACTACTGCCGGTTTGAGTATAAAGCGGCAACTGGAGCTTTTGTGCCAGATCGCGTTGCAGTGTAAGTGTATGAGTTGTCGTTTGTTGCTGATTGAACTTGAGTAATATTCTTCTAACTCATATTTCTTTTTTTCGCTCTGAAGGTATTGCAAATGCGAGATGCCATATAATCCAGATGATTTAATGGTACAATGTGAGGAGTGCAAGGACTGGTATACACACACCATTTTATCTTACTGACTGAATTTCCGGCTATCAGTAATGAATTACTTACATTGATTTCCTCTTCTCTTGAATGCTGGAAAACCAAATGAGAAAACAAGTAAATAAACAGGAGAGGGAACATGAAAGAGTAGAGATCTTTCTTGTTGCCTGTGTATGGCAGCTGAAAGAACCTTAGACAGTTGGGCTACCTCTGCTCTGCCTTCTAAGAGAGTTCTGTTCTGTTATTATATTTAAATCTCTTTTTTTTATATGTTAAAAAGGGCGCTATCGTAGGGAATGTTTAGTTTTTCTTGTTTATTTTTTCCGTAGTATTCATTATGTGCAATATATGAAGAGCATATCTGTGTGGTGAAAGTTGCGGCTGATCTTTGCACTATGGTTGTTTTGTGCAAAGCACAGATATTAAGTAAAGGGATATTCATCCATAGAAACTTATCCGAAAAGAAGAATAAGAAGTTTTCTTAGTTCGAATTGGTCATTTCTTAGTTTCCAGCATGAAAATTGCGTAGGCCTATTTATAGGTTTTGAAATTGGTCGTAATGTTGTGCGTACATAAAAGACTTCCACATCTCAATTATCTAGCAACAATCTGGGGTTGAGTGAATTCTTTCTGGGTGCTGTCCTAGTATGAATTCCACATTGTATGTAATCTGTTATAGCCACTGTTCTCAAGACGGGACTGTACTTTCATGATATATCTGATTGGTTAAACCAAAAAGCAGCCAGGCATCTCGTTCAAGTTTTAAAAGCATTGCGTGCTTTCATTTCTTACGATACATTCCCTTGATCTTTGTAGGTATCATCCAGCCTGTGTGGGCCTGACTGGTGAACAAGCTAAACAAATTGATGACTTTGTTTGTTCCGAATGCTCATCCGAAGATCTGAAGAAGTCTCATAATACTTATGCTGCATCCCCTCTGTCTAATGGCAAGGTAGTATGTTCATGGCTTGTTTTAGCTGTTGTTGATTGGCTTTTAACATGTGAAAAGATGGAGTTTGTTGTAGTTCTCCGCTTCAGCTAACTTTTTTAAGATAGCATGAACAAGAATATGCTGGAATGGGTCCAAATGGAGTGGAATGGATATGAGGGATTCTATAGCATACCCCACTAGTCTGGGATTAAGGCATTATTGTCGTTGTTATACGAATAAGAATATGTTGCGGCGACAAACAGCATCTCCTACCATAAGGATGAAACTGTTGAAGTGATGAGCCTTATACATATAGGATGGACAGAATCCATTGAATACAGACTATTCTTTAGGTTCTAGAACTTTCTAGGTGGACTAACTTCTGAAATTGGCATCATTGAGTCCTTTTGACTCCGTCTGGTCTCACTGGAAAAAAAGAAGCAAGAACTCTTTTTTTTTTTTTT